AGCAAAGATCTCCGCAGCGTCAACGGCGCTTTTGTCGGATTATCTTCCCCGCAGAAAAGTGGTGACTCTCGCCAAATCGAAGAAGTTTCGGGATCACCACGGGAAGGTTCTGCTGGAGGGTCACAGGCTGATCAAGGATGCCCTGGAAGCAGGAGCTGTGCCTCAGACCTTCTTCTTCAGCACCATGGAGCACCTGAAGGAGCTGCCCCAGGCCAAGCTGAAGCAAGCCAGCTTAGTTAAGGTGAAATTTGAAGACATTAAGAGCTGGTCCGACCTCATAACTCCTCGGGGGCTTATAGGTAAGTTGCTTTGGAAACAGTCACAGCACTGCTCAAAGGGAAACTTAATTTAAGTGGATAACGACTCTCCCTTCCTCTCCCTGAACTTCCCCTGAACGTTCTGACAGTCTGTCCAAACGGATATGATTTGAGAGAATTCCCTTTTATTAGCCCTGCTTTGGTAACTGTGAAAGTGGTTCCTAGAGTGCACTGAAGGTGTTACCACTCATTTTAATGGCATGTTGCTTCAGCTCTGCTGGGAAATAGTTCTCCTTCCAAAGTGTCAAACCTCCCAGCTTCTTTTAAGCCATGCTTTTCCTCATGTTTCCTCCAGCACATCCTTAGTGGTATTTAGCGCAACTAAACCAGAGACAGCCCTCTCCTTGGGGTGCGTTAGTCAGAAGCCTGTCAGCGCTTTGTCTCCTCAGGGATCTTTTCCAAGCCTGACCATGCCAAGATGTCCTATCCTGCTGCTCAGCTGACCAGCTCCTTGCCACTGCTCCTCATCTGTGATAATATCCGAGATCCAGGAAACCTGGGGACTATTCTGAGATCTGCAGCAGGAGCAGGCTGTGAGAAAGTGCTGCTCACCAAAGGTAAGAGCCTTTCCCTGGGCGGGGAGGGGGGAAAGTGCAGTTTGAGTAATTTTAGGCATAAGGCAGAGAATTAGAGATGCTTGAAGATATTGCTCCCAAGAAGTTGTAAGCAGTGCCTGGCACACACAGGATTTGCTGTAGGAAGCTGAATCTGATCTTTGTGGGATTCACTGTCACCATTTTCCCTGCTTCCATCTCAGGTTGTGTGGATCCCTGGGAGCCAAAGGTGCTCCGGGCAGGCATGGGGGCTCACTTCCGACTGCCCATCATTGCCAACCTGGACTGGGAATCTGTTCCTAGCAACCTTCCTGCTGGTGTCCAGGTATGCGTGGCTGACAACAAAGACCCAACAGGAGCTGATGGGGCTGGCTCTGCTGACAGCCCAGAGGCCTCTGTGGAATCCAAACCCAGAGCTGCTCCTGAGCATGAGGATGAAGAGGGAGAGGCGGGTGTCTGCATCCCAGAGCTGCCTGCACAGTATTACTACGAGAGCTGGACACAGACTCCGGTGGCAGTGGTGATCGGTGGAGAGACCCACGGCCTGAGTCCCGACGCGCTTCACCTCGCAGCCAGCACGGGTGGGAAGAGACTGGTCATTCCTGTGGTGCCAGGCGTGGACAGCCTGAACTCTGCTATCGCTGCTGCTATTGTGCTGTTTTTTTTTCAGCTGCTGCAGAGGCACAAGCAGGAAGATGAAAGGCAGAAGTTCCCTGTAGTGGGCTGAACTGAGGTTTGGGTGCTGATGAAGCTTCTCTTCCCTTTGGTGCACTGCAGAGTTAATAAAGGAGCAGCTCGGGCTGTCTGTTTTGCAGTAAACGAGTGTTGAACAGCAATGGCAGTGTTGGAGCTCTGCCTGGCTGAGTGTCAGACTCCTGGGCAAGCCTATGGGCGCTGCGGCCGCACGGGGATGCTAGTGAGAAAGGAAAGGCCGAGGGAGACTGCCGCAGCCAGCTCCCGACTTCTTCCATCCAGCAGATCTGGGGAGGCCTCAGGTCGCTCATTGCGGGGTCAGGGCACATCTGCCGCAGTGGCATTTGTGCTGGCCCGGTGAGGCTGCTGCTGACAGCCCGTGTCATTCCTGTGTTGTGCAGCCTGGCTGATGTTTTTGGGGTCAGAAAGGCCAAATAACAGCCACCTGAATGGCTCCTGCCTGTGCTTACCCAAACTAAAGCTCTAACGAGTGATGAGAGCAGTACACTAGCCCGGCCAAGGGTGCCTGCTTGCACGCCCAGCTGGCTGCAGGGTGGGGTGTCTGAGCTCTGGGAGCTGGGCCTCAGCATGGATGAATTAGGAATGAGGGAGGGGAAAGGAGGAGAAGGAGCTGCCGGACATG